CAAAACTTGTTGGTTTGGGAAGGGTTTTAAAATGTCGATGGTATGTCGATGATTTTTTATGCAGCTAAAACATTTACTTTGCTACAATAAATGATTTAGTTATTATTGCCATGCTATTAATAAGTACAACCAGTGGCGGATCTAACGGGTGTGGGAGCAGTTGTGAGCAGTTTTTGTATTTAACATGTTTCTCTTAAAAATATTCTGTAGTTTGAACATTTTGTGTAAAAATGCGGATAAATTTTGGTAATTAAAGCAAGTAAAACTCAAAGTTTTAACGGAAAAAAGACTATTTTGATGAAAAGATGACACGTGGCACGCAAAAAAGGTCGTCACCCACAAATGTTGGCTCTCCCGAGTCAACATTGTTGATTGTTGAAACATGTTGAAACATTTTCAGAAATTCTCTACATCGGTTTACGTTTGAAGAATTTTAACAATTTCGGCCCTTCGCTAAAGTTATCTAGTTCCGCCACTGAGAATAATATTAATAATAATAACAAAAACAACAATAATAATCATGATACAAGCGATATTAATAATGAGATTAAAATAATAATAAAAATAGTTATTTTATTATTTAAAAAAATAATAATGACATGACAATGATAGGAGCCCTGCCATCAGGAATGAAAGTTTTGCTACGGCTATCATCGTCTGCATAATTAAATTGAAAGAATTTTGATCGATGTCGTTTGTCCTTTGATTGCATTCATTTATCATTCCGAGAGCTTATTCAGTCATTCTTCTTATTTATCCATCTATTCGTCAGTTAGTACATCCATACTTCCATTCATCTGTTCATCCATTCATCTTTTCATCCATCCATCTCACAAGTATAGTTGATGCAGTTCAACTTTTTTCTACTTTTACATTTACCCATCATTCCCTCCATTTATTCATTCATTAATCCCTTTAGTTATCATCCTTCCATCCGTTATCCATTTAACTTTTATCCTTCTTTTCATTTATTCATCCATTTATACATTTAATTATCCATCCATCTCTCCATTTATCCATCCATCTATCATAATCAAACAATTTCGTTTTTTCTTCATATTTGTCAAATATCGTCTATCTATCCATTCATCAAACAATCAATCCATCTATCTATTTATCTATAACTATAATTCATTCATTCATTCATCCATTTTTCCATCAATCCATCCATCAATCCATCCATCAATCTATCCATCAATCCATCCATCAGTCTATCCAATATTTGCGTTTTTCAAAAAACTCGTCAGGTATAATATTGCGCTCGTCAAGCCATCATCTGTCATATTTGTTACTGCCATTGAACTATCATCATTAATATCTCATGCCCGGTCTGTCTCGTTGGTTTTCCCGGACTCATAATAATAATAATAATAATGATAATGATAAATAATAACTATAATTATTATCGTTGTTGTAGGTTTCGTTGTTATTATTTATATTGTTATCGGGGAGTCATTGTCAATATTTCAAACCTGGTTCATCTCGTAAGCTTCTATCACTTGTAACATTACGATTCTTCTTCATGTTGTTGTTTTTGTTCTTCTTCTTCTTCTTTTTCTTCTTCTTCTTTTTCTTATTATTATTATTATTACTTTTATTAGTAATAGTAATACCTGCAATACCTGCAATACATTACTGGCGCGTTTTATGCGGGGATGCATCTCAGATTGCCTGCCTCGGCTTCAGCGAATCGCGTTTGAGTGTTTCAAAATTATTTTTTTGCAAGTGTTGAAGTTTTCAAGATGAACTAATTGAATAGATTTGTAAGTTAATAGATGGATTGATGGATGGATTGATGGATAGATTAATGGATGGATGGATAGGCGGTTAAATGAATGGATGGATGAATGGTTGAGATGCATCCCCGCATAATGATAGACTGATAGATAAACATCAAAAAATGAATTTTGTGGAAGTCTTTTTTAGAAATATTCTGTTCCTCATTCATTCAAGCATTCATTTATTTATTTATTTTATTATTCATCCGTTTATTCAGCCAGTTACTAGAGCGACTATTGAATTTTATCTAATCCATTCTTTCATTCAGTGAATCTTTCACTCATTCATTCAATCGTTGATTAATTTAAAAAAAATGAATGAATGAATGAATGACTGACTGAACGAATGAGTGAATGAATGAATAATTAATTAACCCAATCATTCACTCACCCAATTCGCACCTTCATTCATTCACACAATCATTCTTTCATTAACTCATTCACTCAATCACTTGTTCAATTTTTCGTCCAACTTTTCTCTACCAGGAGTAAAAAAAACGTTCCCGACTAACGCGATAAATTTATTTAAAATACTGTTACCACTGCTGCTACTACTACCACCACCACTACTACTACTACTACTACTACTAATACTACTACTACTACTAACTACTACTACTACTCTTACTTACTACTGCAGATTATAATACAGTGGTACAGTAAAGTCGCTAATACTACTGCTATTACTACTACTACTACTTCTACTACTGCTGCTGCAGCTATTACAACAACATCAGCTACTACTATTACTACTAATGTACTGACAATAAACTATTAATAATACTAATTACAAGTTGTATTGTTTTTACTATCACTACTGCTCAGTTATAATACCCTTTCTGCTGTTATAAATACAAATACTGTCAGATTACTTTTAAAAACGCAGAGGTAAGAATACGAGTAGTGGAGTTTCGTGATGATGTATGGGGCTTACAAATCTCTATAGAGTGAATTGAAGAAATACCTTAAGAATTAATATGCTGATAATATTCCAAGGTTTTTCAAATTATAAGGAATGTTGTTTTCTGATTTTAGGTTTGACGTTAGCGATATTTTTTAAACCGACCAGTCTAAACTTATTTTTTAAGAACAGATAACAGATCAAAATCATTGAAGTGTGAAAAAAATTCTTAAGTAATGAAATTTGTTTGTAAAAAATCATTACTGAACATGAAATTCAATAACAATCGTCCATCTATCTACGTCCAGCAAACAAAAATCCCTCAATCAATCAACCTAACTATCAAATAAGAGCGAGCTATTTGCATGTTGTCGTTTGCAGATGCGTTGCGTGAAGATGAACGTTATTGCCTCATTCATTTTGAGTTCATTGGTTGAGAACAACAACAACAACAACAACAACAACAACAGCATCAGCAGCAACAACAGCCTTACAACACTAACACAAACCAGAATCAAACAAAACCTTGCAAAGTAGCATGAGTGAGTATGTCAAATGATGATGACGACCGCAATGAATTATGCACCATAATTTTCAAGACTCGCTCAACTTTATAAGAGGTATGAGAATGCTGACGATACAGTTTATTTGTTCATTCCTTCGTTCGTTCGTTCGTTCATTCATTCATTCATTCATTTTTCGTTCTTATTTGTTCTAATTCTCAAAATATAAGTGTTTACACCATTATCGTCGTCATCACCATCATTGTCGTCATCATAAATATCATCATTATCATCATCATCAGGAGAAGCAGCAGCAGCAACAACAGTAGCTTCATCATCATCACCACCATGGGCGACAGACGCGTCCACTATATTTATATTAGGAGAATAAATAACAGCGATTTATTTCATGCATTTTATCATGCTTAAAATTTTTTAAATTTTATCGACATAAAATTTAAAAAAAAAGTTTCGAAAGTTTCGATTTTTAATTATTGAAAATAATTTTCATTTTGGATACTTTCTACTCTAGTTTTGAAAATTATGGAGGAAAGCTCATTGCGGTCGTCAGCATCATCTTTATACTCATCATTACTATTATCCACACTGTTGACGTCATCATCATCAACATTTACATCAACAACAAAAACATCATCATCACCATCATCAGTAACATCATCATCATCTGTAACATCCTCTTCATCATCATCTGCAGTAACATCATCATCTGTAATAACATCATCATCATCACCAGTGACATCATCGCCGTCATCATCATCATCATCATCGTTGTTACTACCAATGACGTCATCGTCAACGTCATCAACTGCGCTAGTACGGTTAGCAACGCCTTTATTATCGGCCGCATTGTCAGTCAAGTTTTCTTTGTTAACTCAAGCCTCGTCAACTCTACCATTATCACCCACAACAACATCATCGTCATCATCTACAACATCACCTCCATCTACATCATCATCTACATCATCATCATCATCATCATCATCTACATCATCATCATCATCATCATCATCATCATCATCATCATCATCATTAGCAGCAGAAGCAGCATTATCATCATCATCACTGTCAACAACAACAACAACATCATCATCATTAACAGCAAAAGCAGCATTATCATCCTTATCTACATCACCATCATTACCATCGTCATCAGTCACGTCATCAGCAACAAAAACATCAACAAAGCATCCAACGTCTCAGGCAACACTGACTGCGCTATTTATGTCGAGTCTTTCATATCAAAGAGCCAGATATTTGTCTCTGCTTCTTGCAACATTAACCTTCGTAGCAACGACAACAGCCCAGCAACACCAACAACAACAAATACGACTGCTGCAACAACAGCTAATACAACAACAACAAATAGAACGACAACATTTGCAACAACAACAAATACAACAACATCTGCAACAACAACAGATACAACAGCCCCAACAGCTTAAATTATTCTATCTACAGCAGCAGCAACAGCAGCAAATATTTTCATACAATCTTCATAACGAACAAGCAACGTTGCGACAACCACAAAAAGAAACAACACCACAACAACCACAACAACCAACGTCGCCACGATCACCACCACAGCCACAACAACAAACCACACTACCACAACAGCCGCAGCCACAACAAACCACTCTGAAACTAGTTTTCTACGAAGACACGTGGACATTGGAAGCCATCTTGCGCTTCATCGGCATCAGCATCCTCATGATTGTAACTCTTGCCGGAAACGTCGCCATCTTGGTTTGCCTCTGCCGGAAGCGCCATCCGACGTCACTTCCGGCGCGCGGTCAAACGCGGTCGGCCAGTCGGGTTAATATTTTCATAATCAATCTGGCTGTGGGGGATCTGACAGTTCTCTCCTTCACCATGACCACGGAGCTCCTGTTCGTCGTCCTCAACCAAAGTTGGACGCTTGGGAATGTTGTCTGCAAGGCAGTTCTTTATATCCAGGTGATCCGGAATTATATTTCCAAAACATTTTATAAGTTTCTATGTTGTTTTTAAAAAATTATTTATTACTATTTACTTAACGTACGGTTGTTAATTTATTTGCTACGTTATATCATTCTGCCCGGTTCATGCCATGTTATGCTAAAATATGAAATATTCAAATTTATGTGATGCAAATTGTGTATGTGTGTTTACGTGTGTGTGTTTGTTTGTGTGTTTGTGTGTGTTGTGTTTGTGTAAATATTTATGTTAAAAAAGTGAAACATAGTGTTTATATAAAAGCGTCTGGTCTTTTTTAAGTAGCTTTCTTTTCTAGGCTCATCACAGTTTACAGAACACATTACGATTTCCAGGTAAAATGTATGCTGGATTTTTATTCTTTATTCCCAGTTTATATTCTTTTACCTACATATTTTTTCACTTGAACGATTTCGTTTCTTTTTGTTTCATCTATCACTCAAATGACCAGGACGAAATTGAATTTCTGTTTAGGAATAAACGTTCTTCCAAAAAGACTTCAACACGCACACGCTTACACGTGCTCGCACATACTTCTACGCTAACACTCTTACACACACACAAACGCACAGTGCAGATCCTGTTACGTATCATATACTATACTTATGTATACTACAATCATACGTAAAATATACATCAGTTAACTAAAACTCACATCCACACACGCACACTCAAACATACACATACCGAGACACACACACACACAGACAGACGGATAGACACAAACACACACACATACAAAAAATTGGACTGCTATTTTATGATACTGCATAAGATTAATGCGAGCTTACTGTAATAAAGTTGATGTTACTAGGGTGAGATGGGAGTAGGTTACTAAATAAAATAAGATTACATGCTTTCTCCTTACCTTATGTTGTACGCTAGACTAGATGTACTCATAAATTATTTAAAAATGGATTTTGATAAATTTTTATTTTCACGCTAAGTTTGCAGTCGTTCGAATGTTTGTTTTAGAGAATTACAAAATGTTCGGTGGCCCAAATTTTGTTTGAATATGGTTGGAGTTATATATAAATATAACTATATATGTATATATATTTCATGAGCATGTGTGTTGTTGGACTTGTTTGGATACGATTGGATTAATGGTTACTTGCTTAAATGTATAGTCAATTTAATAACTATGGTTTTTGGTTATAATTGTAGCTTTTATGTAGAATTATAACTTTAGAAAATATTATATTAAATTTGGGGAATATTCAGAGAGAGGTTGAGTCGCTGACCTACGTGAACACGCTGCTGAACACGCAGAGAGTATGTCTAGACAATAATTTAATTTAGGTTTATAGTTTGCCAGAAGGTTAAAATTAAAACTGTTAAATTGTACGAACGCCTGGGCGGTTGAGAGATGCACATTTCGTGGCCGTGTGTCTTGTTCGTTACACAGGAAATGTTATTCATGTTTGGTAATTTTTATCTGGAAAAATCTTGAAATAGGTCTTGAAAGATCTTGAAAAAGCAACCTAAAGTGTAGAGAAGTAATTTGATATATGAAATTCTTAGAAATTAATTTCTTCTAAGGACGAACTTTTTTTGTTTTCATTTTTTCGTCTTCAAAATAAAATTTAATACATTAAAACGTTTTGATTTCATAAACCCTCAAATCTTATAATATAAAAATAAATTTGTCATAAAAAGGTTTGTTTATTTTTCAAATCTATTTTTTCTTCTACCACAATAGATGTTGTTTGATTGCTACTTTCCTGGCCGGAACCAATCAAACGTTTCCACAGATTAATTTAAAGATAAGTCTGCAAGTACGTTTGGAACATTTGTCCGCACCAGTACATGAGATACTTGTGAAATAAAGATGTAGTGTAGTGGTGTAGTGGTTAACGTGCCTGCCACAGCCCTTGCAATGACCGGATTCGATTGTCTTAAGCTACCACGTGCAATGTGTGAGACAGATGGAATCGCGCTCTTACTTGCTGTATGTTTGTGTGTTGTTGACACATAAAAAGTTCATGAGAGATTTGTAGAAAGAAGAAAAGTGAAATATGAAGATGGTTGTTTAGGTGTGTGTTGGTTGAATTGTTTTACCCGTGTGTGTGTGGAAATGAAATGTTTAGGAGGGGAAGGACAGGTGACAGTTCAATACAAAACTGTCAGAGTTGGCAAACATTCTCACACCTGTTCTTCCATCAATATTTTTCCCACGTTTTTTTAAGTATTTTTATTATTTTTCTGTAATTATTATTATTTTATGTTTTTATTCTATTTATATTATTATTATTTTTATTTTGTAAAGCTTTTAAGACACAGTGACTAATTTTCATGAAACCGTATCATGGTTTTATGAATCCTATTTTTTTCTTGACTGATTTTTTAAAAGAGAGTAAAAATATTTTTATCTCAACTTTCAATTTTTGTTTCTTTCTTTTCAATATTTTCTTCATTTAAATGTTGAGACCTATACTCCTTTGTTGGACCTAGCATTTATGTCTGACTTGATGAATAATATATATTGACGTTTGCCAAGCTGCCAAGCCACTTTCGTTTGAGATTCACATCAACTTTCGACTTTTAACATTCAAAAATTTCTTTTTTTTATTTGTAAACAACACAAACACACACCACATACATGTATAATGTGTTAAAATCGTTGATACACACGTATTCACGTACAATCTGTGTGCGTATGTGTGGTTGTTGTTGTTGTTGATGTTGTTTTTATGTTGTTACTCTTAGTAACAATTGAGAAAAAATAACTATAAGCAAACAAAGAAACAGTTTATATTTACATATAGCAATGCCCTGGTGAGTTTACATTTACATATTGCGGATTGTGAGATGAACTCTGTGCTCGCTCATGTAGGTCTGGAATGTTGTATGAATTCGTCATGTTAGCTGTGCAGGTTGTTATGATATTGTACAAAAACTGGTTGTAAGTATACGCGAGTAGTACCTCTGGAGGCTTCACGTTTCCCCATATTTTCGGCACGGTGAAGTTTAAACTTGTTCGTACCAGTTTTATTCCTGTTGGGACTGTGTTTAAAAGTGGAGCGTATGACGTAAGACACTTTTAAACTGAGTTTAAAAGTGTCTTACGTCATGTTATTTTTTTAGCTTTTTATTCATTCGTTCGTTCGTTCGTTCGTTCGTTCGTTCAATCAATCGTTCATTCATTCATTCATTTATTTAATCAATCAATCATGGGATTAATATTTTTTCTGAGCACCGCATACGTTTGTTATTAAGGCCTATCTGTGAAAGCGTAGAGTACATGCATTCATAATGTACGCAATCACAGCACAACCTTTGATGGTTGATTGTCAATTATTAAGAATTATCTCTCACTCCCTTTTTCTCTTTCTCTCTTTTTCTCTTTTTCTCTCTCTCACTCTCTCTCTCTCTCTCTCTCTCTCTCTCTCTCTCTCTCTCTCTCTCTCTCTCTCTCTCTCTCTCTCTCTCTCTCTCTCTCTCTCTCTCTCTCTCTCTCTCTCTCTCTCTCTCTCTCTCTCTCTGTCTCTTTCTCTCACACACAACACATACCACATCACACACACACACACACACCTAAATAAACGTATGAACTTGTAAAATTCTAGGAATAATTTATGTATTAAGTTTGAAAATAAAAAATATATATATATATATATATATATATTTTTTTGAAGTACTACACTTATACATACAATGCATACATAATTAGTTCGTTCATTCATTCATTCACTTACATTCATTCATTCATTCGTTCATTCATACTCTTCTAGAGTTATCATTAACACACATTCGCGTGAAATGAAACATTAGAAATTTGAAATGTCTCGTCGGTTGAGATGGGTCTGCAAAAAAGGGTGTGATAAAAAACCTTAACACAAAAATTCGTTTCATTGTGACGTAAACATTTTCGTCACGTGATTAACCAACCAAGTTCTGGAGCTGAAGCTCTATGAGTTGCTTTATGTCCTTCCTAGCTTGAACACGACATTGATGTTGTGAGAGATGTTGAATCCTTTGTTTTTTCAATTTGTTCATTAATTGATTTGTTGATTTTTTAATTCATCCATTTTGATTTTTTATTCATTTTTTTATTCATTTAATTCATCCATTCATTCATTTATCTAGTCATTTATCTATCTAACAATCCATGCACTCGTTTATTCGTTTTATTCTTGCTCAATCAATCAATCATTCTTCGTACAAGAGAAAGAATTAGTTTGAAATTTAAACAATCAATTAATCAAGTACTTTCTAATTGAATTATCGTCAGTCGGTTCGATCTGCTACCGTTTGAATGGATTTATATGTGTGTGGTGGGTGTGTGGTGGGTGTGTGGTGTGTGTAGGCGTTTTTTGTACGTAATTGCGAGATGCATTGATGGCGTGTATGTTTTTGCTTGGTAAATCAAATAAACCTAAAAAATAAATTCTTTCAATAATGAATTGATCAATTTTTAATTAGTTGACCACTAATTCATTTGTTAGCTCGTTTATTTACTTATAAACGTTTGCTTTTCATTCATTCGTTCATTCATTTGTTTGTTCTTTCATTTATTATTCATTCATTCAATTGTTCGTTCATTCGTTTATTTACTCGTTTACTTCATTCACCCATTCTTTTGTTTTTTCTTTGGTAAACATATTTGTTTGTGCATGCAATAAATTAAATATTCATTTGTTCGGTTGTTTTGGTTTGCTTTTTTGTTTGTTCGTTCGTTCGTTCGTTTGTAAGTTCGTTCGTTTGTTCATTACTAATTTATTATTTATTTTTCTCCTTGCTTTTCTCTTTTTAATAGCCTCTTCTTTTTCATAGATTTTATTAAATTTTATTCATTAAGCGCAAAGTCATTTTTTTTCATCCATTCACTCACTTATCCATAAGACGTTTTTCATTGCATATGTTCCGCATTTAAAAATCCCAATCCAATATTTGTGTGACGAAAATAGTTATAAAACAATCTTCCCTTATTTTCCTTTTAAGAATTAAAACTCCGTGATCAAATTTTTCTAACATTCATCAAGAAGAAACTTTCGCGCTTTTCATTTTTAACTTTTGCGCGCATTCGTTCGCAGAGGCCATCCATCAATTTTCAGACAAGCGTCACATAAATCCGCGGAAAATTTATGAGTTAGCGCTCCAATCGAATTTTTTTTTAATTTTTAAACAATTCAATTTGAAATTTTAAAAACGATTTTAAGGATTGAATTTGCAAAATTTTTCATTGATTTGGAATTATAAAATATATTTGAATGAATATGAATATCATATATGAACAAATTGAATGAATGTTTGATAATTTTCAAAGATTTATATCTTCAAATAATTATGCATATAAACGTAAATTTGTTTCAATTTTGTTCCAGATAATCACTCTAGCTAGCACGACGTTCATCCTGACGGCAATGAGTGTCGACCGCTACCTGGCCATTTGTAGGCCCCTTAAAATCAACTCGCTGAACTTCAGTCCCCGTAAGATGATCATCCTTTCCTGGACTCTGGCCCTCGTCTTTGCCTCCCCCCAACTTTTCATCTTTAAACAATCGGTAGAGGGGGTGTATCCGGATGGTCGGTTGAAGTTGGAGTGCGCCAGTAAGGGATACACGGAGTGGTGGCAGAGGAAGATGTACTTCACCTTCATGACAGCCTACATACTTCTGATCCCATGCTTCGTTATCTCATTTTGCTACATCAACGTCGCCAGGATCGTCTGGAGACAAACAAACATCGTCCATTTGAAGCAAGTTAAAAATAATTCCAAGCTGCAGAGTGGCGGTGGCGAGTGCGGTGGTGTACGTAGCGTCATGGCCGGTAAGTTTGATTATCTCGCCGATGTTGACAGCGACTGCAGTGGTGTGGCTGCTGCTGCTGCTTCAGATGTTTCGGCAAAAACGCGATCGAAAAATCGAAACGTTAGTGGACGGGCTGACGGAAAGGGTTTAACATTTGAACTGCCAGCGACGTACGACCCGTGCAAGGAAAATAAATCAATTCGCGTCAGGAATGAAAAATTATCCTCATCCATTTTAAGAATGATTCCATGCGGGAGGGGGGGACGTGATTGCAGGGGTGGTGGAGGTGGTGGGCAGGATTACGATTGCAACACTAACAACCTCATCGTCAACATGAACGCATCTAACAACAACCGCATCTGCAGCTGCAACAGCAGTACCCATAACAACGATTGCATCAACAAGCGCTTCAACAAAATCAGCCGAATTAACTGCGACTACATCAACAACAACAGCGTCACCACCACTACCACTACAAGCAGCAGCAGCAACAACTACAACGTACCGACATCATCATCCTCGTCATCGTCGAGATCGAGAAGTCGATCGGTTACGGTTTTACGAAAGACCGTCGGTAACGAGTCGTCGATATCGCGAGCCAAGTTGAAAACGATAAAAATGTCGCTCAGTATAATATGTGTCTTCGTCGTCTGCTGGACGCCTTACTTTGTGGTCCACCTCGTTTACATCTGGTCAGAGTACACCTACAAAATACCGAAGTGGCTGTTTGCCTGTGCCGACACCACCGCCTTCCTCAACAGCGCCCTCAATCCCATCATCTACGGATTCTTCAACGTTAAATTTCGGAAGCGGAAATCGAATCCGATTTTGATGAAAAATAACAACAACGATAACAGTCGAAATATTGGCGGAATTAAACTGGTACTTGATGGCGGAAGTAGCGGTAGAAATTGTGGTGGTGTTGGTGGTGATGATGATGTGGGTGGTGGTGCTCATGTGGTGAGGATAAGAAGGACGTTTGTGGTTGGTGATGGTGGTGAATGTAGTGAATGAGGCAGAACGCGGCAAGTTTGTGTGAAATGTTTTGATAATGATGATGATGGTGACGACGACGATGATGATGGTGGTGACGATGATGATGATGGTGGTGACGATGATGATGATGGTGGTGACGATGATGATGATGGTGGTGACGATGATGATGATGGTGGTGACGATGATGATGGTGGTGGTGACGATGATGATGGTGGTGAAGGTGATGACTGTGCTGGCGATGTTGGTGATGATGAGGATGATAATGATGATGAGCGATAAATATGATTGATAAATTGCACTTAGAATTCTACTCGTTTTTTTTTTCAAAATTTTTTTTTCTGGCAAAAAATTTTTTTTCAAATTTATTTCAAAGTTTGTTAAGACATTGAACTTTTCAGTGACAATTATCATCCTCATGATACAAACGATGATGAAATGATGACATTAAAACTGATGATAACGTTAATAATGACGGTAAGAATCATCATGATGTGACGATGATGATAATGTATTAATGACAATAAAAGTTTATCTTTATTAATGTTCCTTGTTGTAAATAAAATTCGTTCATTCATTTGTTCGTTCGTTTTTTCGTTCATACGCTTGTTTGTATATCATTATTTATTCATCTGTTCGTTTGTTCAGTCGCTCATTTATTCGTTCATTCTTTCTTTCGCTATTCATTCATTCATTCATTCATTCTACTTATTCATTCATTCGTTTATACATTAAATTATTCATTCGATTTTATCTTTTTTATAAAAAAAAGAAAAATAATTAATTTCGAATTCAAATGAAATTGTGTATATTTTTAGCCAAGTATTATTAATGATAGAGTTATAAAATTTACAACATTTAAAATGCACCAGATAGAAAAATTCAAGCAATCCAACTCGAACTCACAATCACAGAACTCTGCATTAGCGCATTTAAAATTTCAGATTTTTATCTTCTCTTATCTAGTATTTTGTTTTTTCAATTTAGTTGAAAAGAAAAATTACTTTCGAAATATTTTTTTTCTCTTTCAGACTCTTTTGTGTTGTTTGCAAAAAACGTTGTGTGTCTTGATAAATTTTACTAGCAAGTAGCAGGTGTAAGTTGATACAAGATGTTAAAAAAACGTCACCATTCAATATTTCAAATTCAAATTCACCATTCAAATTCACAATTTTGTATTCAGAAAATCTGCATTCCATTCTATGAATTTGTTTTTTGCAAAACGCAAAAGTTATTTTCAAAGACATCCTGCGTCATATGAAAAAAATTCATAATTAACGCCCACCTGGAAAACATTGACATTCATTACTTTTATGATTATTAATTTTATTTTAATGAGTTAAAAAATTTTTATTACCTTTAACATTCATTCATTCATTTATTCATTTTATTCATTTATTCAATCAGAAATTTCGCCGCTGTTATAAATCTCATTCAAAATTTTTGCCACTTTTTCAATGCCAAATTCATCAAGGAATTTAATTTCATCAACAGCCGAACCTGGCGCTTTATTTAATTTCATTTTATTGAGAGCAGCACGAACTTCAGATCTAAGTATCCCAAGTATCTAAGTATCCCAGTATCTAAGTATCCCAAGTATCTTGATCCTTTTCTACGTTTTTTTTAAATAGGAGGCTCCTCACCACGGCCATCATCAAAAAGATCGTTAACGTGTTCATGATACCTTTCAAGTACTTTTTCCTTCTTTAAGATTACTTCACCGGATCTAGCTTGTATTTAGCTAGCTTACAAGCCCTTCCCCCAGTGATTTCTTTGATGTTTTTATACACGCATTTGTACCACTGTTTTTGATCTTTTCAATGATTTCGCTTTTGTCATTTAATAATTTCTCCTTTGCATCTAAGCACATTTTTTTGACTGTTTTGTCCAGTATTTTGTAACTACCAGGACTGCAACCTTTCACTTGCATCTATTACAGCAAGAAATAATGAGGACGATATGAGTAATAATGATATTCACTATTATTATTATTATTATCGTTATTATAAATTTATTGTGGAAATTAACGAAAATTATTTTTAATATTAAAATGTATCCCACAACTTAATCTTACATTCATTTTTATTTGTCTTTTTATTTTATTATTTATTTTATTATTTCAATTTCTTAGAAATATTTTTTTACCAAAATTTTCTAAAAAGTGCTCATCACAATTTATAAGTATTCACAAAAATGCAATCACTACAACTACTACTACTACTACTACTACCACTACTACTACTACTACTAATACTAATACTACTACTATAACTGCTCCTTCTACTACCTTTACTTCTACTACTGCTACAACAACTACTACTACTATTACTACTGCTACAACTACTACTACAACCAAAGATATTTATGTTTAACTAATACAACAACAACAACAAATAAACAAAATGAACAAGCTGGACAAGAAAAAAGGCTTAGTTACTTGGACATAATATATATAACATTATCCGCAATGATAATTGCACAAATTGCGTTTTGATGTGAGATTTTTCAATAGATTCGCTAAATTTCCCTTGCTGATGTGCCAAGAAATTTTGATGTTTTAATTTGATTTTTTTGTTTTACTGGAGTTTAAACAGTTTTTAAATATTTTTATTTAAAATTTGGAACCATTTTTTTTTGTCAGAAATATTGTTTTTCTACTTCTAGAAGCGCAGTTATTGAATCATTTAATAATTTTCCGGTTTTGACTATAATATGATTACTAAAATTACTTCATCTTTTTAAAAATTTTAATACTAGCTAGTACCGCAAAAACAACTACTGCTGCTACTGCTACTACCACTGAGACTAATGCTACCTTTACTACATTTACTACTCGTACTAGTACTTCTACTATTACTGCCGCTACTACTACTACTACTACTACTACTACTACTACTACTACTACTACTACTACTATCACTACTACTACTACTACTACTGCCACTACCACTACTACTATATTCATATTTTTCAAATACCACAAGTCGTTATAACAATTTTCTATACTTCTACAACTATTATTACAACCAACACCACTACTACAACCACTGCTGCCCCTGCTGCTGCCACTACTACCACTGCTGCCCCTACCGCTACTACTATTACTGTTGCTACTGATATTACTACTGCATCCATGCTCTTCTGAGATTTGATAAAAACGTCATAAAATTTTATAATAATGGTAATAATAACTATTAATTAAACATCACTTCTTCATGAGTTGAAAATAATTTTTCTTTTGCTTTCAAACTAAAAAATTGATAGCTGATTATTATAAGTGTATAGTCATTTCACCTTATAGCATGAGATTATATCGGCATTTTAAAAATTCAGTGGAGGTTTTTTATTTTCTATCAACAAAATTAAATAAGCAGATTTACAAGAGAATACAAATCTTTTAGAATAAGTACACATGCATGTGCGTCATTAAGTACACACAAACGTACATCGTACTAATGTACGTACAGTACACAGTACATGGAAAGAAATATCGTATCACTCTACAAACATACCGACATCTATAAATGCATGTACGTACAAACATACGCAAACACATACAAAAATACACAAATAAACATACTCACGAGAGAAAAACTGTTTAGTATAAATTCCACATGCAAAACTAAAAAAAAACTAAAAACCGTTGAAACAGTTTGTACAAAATCACACAAACAAGAAAAACAAATAAGCATACACGTATGAATACAACAGCATACAAACATACAAACAAACAAACAAACAAAAACGTACAAAAAACATACAAACATCCACGCAGCCATACAAACAAACACACACATACACACACACAAACAAACACAAAAACATACACACAAACACAAAAACAGACGCACAAACATACAAACAAACACACAAACATCTAATATTCAGTGTCCTATTCGTCATTATATTGACATCCTCAACTTAAAGCTGTTCCATTCATCCATACAAACGCCATATTATTTTTTTTACTGGCACGCCTCTGTCGACTGTCTTTATTAAAAATTAATATCCCTTATGAACCTTTCAGTAATGGCGTACTACATTATACTAGCAGTAGTGCATTAAAGTACTATACTACTATGCACATATCACATAATATATTAACGCTACTATTAATACCTACCATTACTAACAAACACTAACAGAAAATAAGTAATTCATAAAAATTATATGGAAATTTTTTGCGCCAGAACATAAGCCTAAGGACACAACAACATTCAGAATTCATACAATCGTCTGCTAGGTGTGACAACTCGCGCCATACAGCCTTTGGTAGAATTCTCATTGGGTGTACATTACTTGTGCGTTCATGGTTATTGCCTGTATTGGTATTTACGGGTCATGTTAACGGGTCACATTGAGGTCATGTTAGAGGTCACGTTGTTGGAGGAGGTCATAGTACGAGTCAAATGAGTTAAGGTGGTGATGTGTTTGTTGGTTGGCGTTAATTTATGTGATTAGTATGTGTTTGTTGTTGTTAATATGTGTTAGTTTGTTTGTTCGTTCGTTCGTTCGTTCGTTCGTTCGTTCGTTCGTTCGTTCGTTCGTTAGTTCGTTCGTTCGTTCGTTCGTTCGTTCGTTCGTTCGTTCGTTCGTTCGTTCGTTCGTTCGTTCGTTCGTTCGTTCGTTCGTTCGTTCGTTCGTTCGTTTGTTTGTTTGTTTGTTTGTTTGTTTGTTTGTTTGTTTGTTTGTTTGTTTGTTTGTTTGTTTGTTTGTTTGTTTGTTTGTTTGTTTGTTTGTTTGTTTGTTTGTTTGTTTGTTTGTTGTCAATATAGGTTTGTGTGTTGTTAATATGTGTTTCTTTATTGGCGTTAATATGTCTTGTTGCA